TAAGTTTGTCAAATATATGTAATAATAAGAAAGTATGTGTGTGTGTGTGTATACACACACACACACACAGATATATATATATATTCGGATATATATATATATATATAGACAAATAATAAATTGTTTATTATTTTAGTATTATTATTAAGGCACGAAATATATATTTATATATATTTAATATTTGGACATTTTAATTATATGATAATTAAGTTTGTCAAATAATATTTAAGGAACAAAGTATAACATAATTATTGAATATATATATGTGCGTAAATATATATATGTATATATATGTATGTTTGGCGTGTGTGTGTGTGTGTGTGTATATATATATATGTATATATGTGTGTGTGTGTTTCGTATATATGTATAGATAATAAATCTTACATTATTTATTTTGAGTTAATTATATGATAATTAAAGTTGACAAAATAAATTGGAAGCTTCCTTAAAGTGCCATTTTAAATTTCCTAAGTAGAATAGGAATGAGATTTGATTTCCTTCCTAAACTCTAAAAGTACATTTTTATTAGGAGTATGAATAGGGATTATACTCCTTATAAATAGGAGATTATCCCACCCCTTTTAGACACTTGGAATTTTCGGCCCTAGCATTCTTTTAAGAGACAAAATATTGTTTTGTTCTCTTAATACTTTACACCAAGTATTTTATATTTTAGAAATATTCTAGAGAACAATTACTAGCATAATTTTCTCTAGAACGCTCTTCATTGTTCGTGTGTCTCAACTCGAGGTCATATACTTTTGTGGCTAGCTCTTGGATCAATCCATCAACCTACACATATCGTTGCTTGCTCGCCAAGAAAGGTATATTTCTCAACAATAACTTATCATAATCATAAGAGGTCATGGGTGGATTTACGTTTGGACATCAAAATTTTATATTTCCGCTGCCCTATCCAAGCGTAGAACCCAACGTATTGAACCAATGTGTGAAAATGAGTACTGCATTATGTAAGAATGAGTAGTACGCTAATTATATTTGTGCGAGAATGAGTACTACTCTACATCAGAATGAGTACTACCCTGGATGTACCTATCTCTAGGTACATCCGGTTGTACCATACACCTTCTCAAAAACCTCTCCCTCATGCCACCTCCAAGAATAAGAGAGAAAACTATGTTTTTAATCACTTGTCTTTTTACTTCAAATATCTTATATTTGAGAAATAATTTAGGGAAAAACTAATAGCATAATTTTTCTCTAAAAACACCTTTCATAGTTTGTGTGTACACAAGAGAGGTCAAATATTTTTGTAGCTAGCTCTTAGGCCAATCCTTCAATCACACAAGGTTGTTTGCTCTCCACGATAGGTATATTTTAACAATAGATTATAGTTATATAAGGGGATCTTTGGTGGAAACGATATTTGGACATTAAATTTTTGTTTTCCACTATCTTATCCAAGCGTGGTTTTCCAACATTGCTTGTAACTAGCTTAAGCCCTGAGGGCTTTCCTACCTCCTTCGTCTCGAGCAGGGGAGGGGAAAGAAAAATGGGTTGATTGGTTGAGACGCTGGTTACTTCGCCGACTGGGATTTGAGTGGCATCCTTCACCAAATCGTTCCTAGACAGCTCCTCTCACATTCTCTTCAGAGGATGCCTGAACCTTCCTTAAAGGCGCTTCTCTTCCTCTTATTCTTGATGAATTGGTGGAGAAGGTTGTTAGGATTCACCATCGCTTCAGATTCAACTGCACAAGGAAAACACAGAAGAATCAATTTCGGTTAGTCGCATAAAACGATAAGTACTACTCATCCTAAGAGAGGTCAAGAAAACTTATAGGGAGGCTGAGAGTGGCTTGACAAGACAAGAATCTCCCTCATCAGCCTCAGTTGATGTCGATGTTCGTCCCTGACGAGCTCGAACCCGAGATCCACAAGGGAGTCCTCGGTCACCAACTTTTCAACTTTGAAGAGCCCCCCTGGCAAAGTTTCTTTGTCACCTTCAACACCTTGGTTTTCGGCACGGGTTACTGCCGCCAACGAATAAGATGGATGGTTGGGCATAGTGAAGGGAGATACATGGCCGGTGGAAACACAGACAAAGAATGGTTTCCGCTAGTGGTTTAATTTATCCCCTTCGTTTTACTATCAAAGAGCTTGCAGGTTCGCTAAGACAGGAGAGCGTAAGAAGCTCATTCCTTAGTCCCCTTGGTCAAATTAGACAAGAACATAAAATGTTAAGGGGGCTCTACCTCAGTCTCTTGGCACCGAATAAGGCAGACCCTGAAATATCTGTGGATATTGGGGAATAGTCGGCAAGGAAGGAGATCATGATGATAAGTAGTCTATGACAAGCTTCTTTAGAAAAAATTGGAGACTGCGCTTTAGCGATTTAAGGTGGACCATGAAAATACCATCTAAGGCATCAAGGGCAATCTCTGTCGGTTTTGGGCACACCACCACAATGTTCAGACCTACCATATCAAAGGCGTTTGCAAAGTTTTATTCGGAGACTTAACAGTGACCCATGGCCATGATAATGTCATCAAGATCGAAACAGGGACCGGCGAGGATGACCTTGAGGGTCTCAAATTGCTTTTGAAGCCTTCACCTCTTTTGGGCCATTGGGATGAGTTCCCGAATGGGGGTCGCCGCTAGTGGCGAGGAGGATTGAATGGTAGTGTCAAAAGAAAAGTTTTTTTCCTCACAAGGATTGTTCTCCTTCCCATCATGGATAGGATCATTCAGAGAATTGGAGGAGATTTGGCTAGACATAACTGTAGAAGTCGAGAAAGGAAGAATCCTAACACGAGGTTGGTAGAGAACGATCCAGAAAGGAGGACTGATGGTTTAGTTGAAGGCGTGGGGGAGAACAATGGAGACATGGGTTTTTATTGTGGAATAAAGAGCCAAAATAGTGCAGATGACGGGGGGGGGGGGGGGG